AAGTTCAATAGGTTTCAACGATGACGAAAGTCGAAATAATACTAAAGAAAAGCACTCGTGCAGAAAGACAGTGACAAAGCCCAGAAAAACCCAGGTGTTGACAAATACTCTCAACAACCAAACTGAAAACGAAAACCCAAGCCAGGTAAAGAAAGAGAATAGTCATCATAAAAGGAAAAGAAGGAGAAGAAAGAGAAAGAAAGTAAAACAACAAAAACAACTGAAGGGCATACCTGTTCTAAACAAGAGGAACGTTCGAAGTAATTATGATAGCGAATCAGACTATAGCGAATGGTCAGAATATTCTGTGTCTGACGATGACACAAAACCTTACATAGATGATTCCATGTCAATCCATGGCAAAGAAGCGGCCAAGAAAATGACTGACGAAAACCAGAAAGCGAAAGAAGTACTACCTACGAATCAACCATCTAAACAGCTCTTGTCAAACGGGAAGAGAGAGGAGGTGAAACATGATCAAAACTCTCATAAAGAACATCATTCTGAACAAAAACTTAACCAAAGATCGGGTGATGAAAGTCCGACTGATGTAGGAACAAGTGGTGTCCATCTAGTGATGACAAGCTCTACCACGAAGTATATAAAGTCTGACGGTAAGGAAAAATCAAAGGGAAAACACACTGAAGTTGATCATAATAAAAGAAAGGGGAATAGTTTAAATCATGTTGATGATAAATTGAACAATGAGATGCAGAAAAGCAATGAAAAAGGTCATACTGATGGTAGATCTAACCAAAATCCAGTAAATGGGCTGAAGGAAGACGAAAAAGAAACAAACAGGTCAACAAAACAAGATGATCGTGAATCGGTCAACAATTCTACTTTCACCTGGGCGGATAAATCATACGAGGTAAATTCAAAAATAGTAATATCGACTGTACATTATAGAGATTTACCACAGAATCTACCAAGAAGTAAATCATATATGCGAAGACTATCAGAGACAGGTGATACACACATCACGCAGACATTACCTCAACATGAAAGGCGAAAAACTCATGATACCTTAGATACCAAAGAAGTGTATCAGACTATAATAGAAGAAAATCATATAAACACTGAGAAACAAAACTGTTATAATCAGTATGAAGGAAATGGCAATAACAGTCATGAGGAAGACGAAAGAAAGACAGAACAAAAGCACGTCACAATTCTTACAACAGGAACCCAAATTATTAACACAAAATCGAAGACTGCTCCAGAGAGCTTGAGAGAAAATAACCAAGAGTCGGTTATCGAGCCCAAAAATGAAAAACTAATCATAAAAAAGGAATCAAGTAATCCTATAGGAGATATCGATTATAACAGTGAAACAATGCATCAAGCTAAACCCTATGTTCCTAACAGAAATCATAATGGAAAAATAGAAAATCATCAGTCCATTCTTGTTGATGATCCAGAAATACATGGTATGAAAGACAGAGGGAATGCTTTGTCTGTGAATCGTAACTTCAAAGCAAATAACAACTCCATGCTAAAACAACCCGAGAAAACAGGATACTTAAACAACTATTCATCTCTACATGATCACAATGTAGAAAAAGCTATCCCGAATGTTAGTAAAAGAGAAAAATATCACCCGAAAAATACAAATATTAAAAATGACTCTGTGCAACACAGAAATCAAAATGATATCAAAATGATTCATGACGATGATGACACTGCACGGTCAGCTAAACCAAAGGAAGGGAATCATGGAATAATAATTCCAAATTTGACTAATAAAAATTCAACATCTCTTCATAAAACAATGGATAAAGAAAAGACAAGTTTCCTTCGTGAAGAAGTAGGGAATCGGAACAGAGAGGAACCCGGCGGGCAATGTAAAGGACAACAGAATTCAGAACAACATTCAAATGTTAGCAAAAACAAAGCAACTATCTATACTGTGACAAGGAATGGAAAGAGTAATACAACACACAATGACAGCAAAGACATGAAAAAGGCAGAAACAGACACTCAACCCATCGTAAAGGGAATACTTACTGATTTGCCTGAAAAGAATAACACAAAAGATATGACGAACAAATCAGAGAACTACCAGCCTCTCAATATAAATACCAAACCACAATCATTCAATAACAATATCAGTGACAACATTGATCTTAAAACGAAAAATAAACATATCAAACAGCCCAATCAGCAATATATTCCGGATTCAAAATCCTCGAAGAAAAATGTTGATCGAAAACTTACGGACAATGATAATATTGACTTAAGTAACGTCTTCATAAATAGTGATGAATTACCGAGTGAGTATGTACCAGTGAGATCACCGGTTCCTGCTCAGACCCAGTCACAAAAAAGTAGATCAGATGAGAAAAATCCAGACAGAGAAAATCTTAAAACTAAGGCCTCATCCTCGTCTGAGAATAAGCCAGACGAAAATCAAAGGGAAAAAACGGAAACAACAGGAATGCTTAATTTCGTAGCTTCTCTTAAGAATCCACCTAGACAAACTTTCGACATCTACGACGCGGACGAAGCAGCACCCCTCTCATCACGTTCACTGGACTCAAAACCTTCAGATAGTTGGTTCAAAGTGAAAGCCAAGGTCTCCTCGTACGTAGCAATGTCAAAGAAAGATAAATTTTCCACCATTCATGGAGAAGACAATATATATGACCGGTCAGGTGCGCGGGAGGTACCGATATCTCACATAAAAGACGATAAACAATGGAAATCTAAGCTGGCAGACGTACATCTTATGTGAATACTAGTAAATTGATAAAGAATAGAAAAAAAACTTGATTTTCCATAGTGGATGGCAAGGATTTTTAATCTGAATATCCATAAGAATTTTAAAAAGATATGACGGACATTTCAAAATAAACTGTTTTATATGATGCACAAAATATATTCCAGAATTGCTCTTCTCACGCCAAACAAATATCAGCTACTGACTTACTCAAACTATTGGAACAATTTTGCTACAAATTGATTTTTTTGAAAATTTAGCTTTAATTGTCAACATTTGCACGGAAGATTGACATTTGGCATATAAAGATCAAGTCCAAATTTTACATATAATCTAAAATCCTTTAAACCAAGTTCCGAAGTTATACTGTTATCATCATGGATGAATAAAAGTCTTCTGAATTCAGATATTTTTCTTTGTTTGTTGTTTAGTGTCCCTCGATCTCGAGAATTTTTCACTCATATTTTTCACCCACTTGCCGGTGGAGGGCTGTAAATTTACACCTGTACTCGGCACTCAGGGCCGTCGAGCAATGAGGAATCTTTTTCTTGCCAACACCTACTATGACACGGGACGTCGGTTTATTCGGTCGTATCCGAAAGACTTGTCGCCATCTTCCACAGATTTAGAGTTGTAAAAGTGTCCATTGATATTTCAATTGAAAAAACTGTGTTATTCTTGAATTAAAAAAAACAAAAAAAAAAAACATTGAATTAAAAAAAAAACATGATCCTATTTCAGTAGGAAACCAAATCTACAGATTAGTTTATGTCAAAACATTAAAAATGGCCATGGCTTTTTTGAAAACAAAAGGAGAATATAAATTGTGTAGGTTACAGAGGTAAAATTGAAACTCTTTCGAATGAGACCGTATAAACCGAGGTCCCGTGTTGCAGTAGGTGCTGGTACAAAAAAGATCCCTCACTGCTCAATTGATTAAACGTCGTTAATATATCTAAATCTTGAGCTGAAGACCACGACAGGTGTTTTCTTCTTTTCATGTAGAAGTTTTTGAAGGATTATAAACAAGCACCCCCAACAGATAGAGTAAAACTTTGTCGCATCAAATTCGATGGGGTCGAGAATAAACTTCGTAATATTGTGGGATTTGAGATAATGAGCTTAAAATACATACATGTACAGAAAATAATGGTTGGGACTTCACTTTGACTTGTCATATTTGAGATAAGTTCAAGTTGCTGAATACTAGCTCAAATTTCAATTGTGTTGCACAATCATTTTTATTTTTCAGAGAGAATCTTTAATCTATACCTTACCATAAGGATGAAAATGTGTATACATATTAATTTTCAAGTTACTAATGAGGTAAATACCTGCGAAAATAATGCTTCTTGCAGTTACTGTCTCAGTCGGTTACATTTAATCATTTAATGTAAGAGATTTACATTCATATCAAAATTGAAGTGTGTTAGATTTCATTATCGGTTTTAATCCATCGGTAATAGCATTATAAATGTAAAACATGGAATTGGGTCGTTGACACATTTAGGATGATACACCTTTAAGCAACATAAGCGCGACAAAAACCAAGTCTAATATTTTATATAATTGATCATTTATCTATAATTTTGCTCTGCAGCTCCACGTACTTAAATAACTGAAGCCTTATTGTCGATTACCAATGATACTTCTATGTTCGACTTGACAAAAAGAAATCTTGGATAAGAAATGATTTTATCTGTAAAGAATAAGGAACATTTTTGATTTGCAATTAAAACAAAAGATGTAGAATATGTTAAACATACAATGCATTGTACTATTATTGTATAATGCCATCAAAGTATTAAATGATGGATACGTTTTCGTCATTAATTCACGAGTTCGTGAAAATTAAAGTTACACGCAATTCCCAAAAAAGCTCCAACAGAAAAAAAAACGAAATACGAACTTAAAATAGTATAAATTCTAATGTAAAATGTACTTAAAGTGTGATAATATATGTAACATGAGAAAAAGAGATCAAATCGATATTAATTAAGAAGATTATAAAATGACGGAGTGCAGAGATCGCCGATTAAACTTTGTTTGACATGTAACATAATTAGCATTTGGATAAGTTAGAATGATTGGCAAGCAGGAATTATGAAGCACTGGAAATATGAATTCAAGTTATACCAGATTTTTTTTTAATGAAAAAATAATGACATGTACAGTGCCTGATAAAATACTAAAAGGAAAATGTAAAATAACGTGAAAGGAACCTTACAAGAAAGAGACAAAAGTGAAAACGGAGTATAACTGATCGGATCGGAAAGAAAAGATGGCAGACGCTTATTCTTATCTAGTGGCTCTATTTTTAGTAGCAACGATTGCCGTTAATTTCATCATCAATGTTGTTGTACTTGTCATGATGAAAAAGAGAAGACTATACGTCATCGTGGCTAACCGACTTTTTCTTCAGTTTGTCCTGATTGATTTTATAGCCTGTTTTTTCGTGTTCGTCCCAGCGAGTGTGACGGCCATTTTAGAATCTTGGGAGTTCTCTGATGCTGCGTGCCACATCCACGGCGTCATAACAACACTGGTATATCTAGTTATATTTGGCCTCCTGATTGTGAGGTGTGTAGAGAGAATCACAAAGATAAAGAACAGGGAGCTACACAAAGCAGTCTTCTGCTCAAACTGCCGCCTAATGCTTGTGTCTTTGGTTGTTTGGTTAGTAGGAATAATCGTTTCTGTATTGCCACTGTCTGGATGGGTTTCTTTCAAATATGACTACTATCACTCGGGGTGTGTTGTGCAATTAGAAGAAAGTATTCTGTATTTAACCTTAATTTTTCCTCTTGGTGTAGGTCTCACCGGTATATTTGTAGTCATAGCCTTTGTGATAATATCAAAAGCAGACAAAAATATCAATGATAATCAGAAGATCAATGGCGGAGAAGGCTGGTACAAAGGTAATGGAAGTAAACTGGATGCAAATAAAAACCCCAACATGGCCACAGCCAGTGCCAATCTAATAATCTGTACTGTGTCCGTCATTTGTTTCTTTCCATACTTTCTCATTATGTTTATCAGAGGCGCTGGAGGAGATATGTGGAGGGGAGCATACAGTATTTGTCTTATTCCCATAGTTTTAACGTTTGTCTTACGACCTTGGATCTATCTGTTTCGACTAAGAATGGCCATCAAGTCAAAGGAAAAGAACGCAGCTCGAGACCCAAATGCAAAAAATAGAATTTTAGCAGTATCCAGAAGAAATAAAAGAAATCCAGAAAATAAGAATTTGCCTCCTGGTGAACTGGAAAAAGGAAAACATCCTAACGAGCCGGTATATTCTTCTGACGAATGGAGTGAATATGATGATACTCAGAAAAAGAAGAAACCATGGTTTCTCCCGAAAAAATCTAAAAAGTATGACGAAAAACTCTCCAAAGACCCTCCCCCATACGAGTCTGATCCTGAGATGATGGCTCATCCTAAACCATCTCCATTGCGTCCAATTAGAAATAAGGACAAGGGTGTATTTAAGAAACCAAATCATCAACACACCAAAGATAGTGAAGTTGATGAAGATGACATGTCTGAATTTTATTTAGATAGCAATTCATCTGGAGCAGATAAAAAACCTAAAAATCGTTCAAACTTAAGAAAGAACAAAATCAAAAGTCCTAAAACAACGAAAAGTAAGACAGTGGATCCAAGAAGATCTAAAAAGAAAAGAGACGCCAATGAAACAGCAGATGATAGTCAATATAGCAGTGAACCCGAAAATGAAATAAATAAAAATGACCCCGAGTCCATGCTCTCACCTCGTATGATTCAGATTAAAGAAATTCCAAAACACAAGAAAAGAAGACCGAAAAAGAAATCTGGCACTAGGACTGAAGAAGAAAGTGTCAGTAGCGAATATTCTGAGGACGGAGGAGATCCTAAAAGAAAATCAAAACGCCGCAGAAAAAAGCGGAATAACCGACCAGGGGAGGATGAAGACAACAGCGATTCTTATGAGTCTGAAAATAGTCCAAATAAGCAGAAGAAGACAAAACCTATTATTATTTATCACAATTTAGAACCCAAAGAAGGTGAAAAATCACAGTCGGAAGAAAAACTTCGTAAACAAAACAAATTTCAACCTTTGATTCGAGTGAAATTAAATGATCCTAAGAATGATACGGACAACATTGATATTAAAGCACGGAAAAAGAGAAAGAAATCCTCGAAATACAATGATTCTAATGATAGTGACGAATCTGAGTACGAAAGTGAGTATGAAACTGGTGATGAATTAGATGCAAATGGCCAACGACGAAAAAAGAAATATAGAAAACGTAGAAATCGCCATCTGTCAACAGAAACGGAGTACTCCGATGAGGACGATTATAACAAAAGACGACGGCGAAAGAAAGATGAGAATGATTCCAATGATGACCCTACAAGACCTCGAAAACACAGAAAGCGCCGAAGGAAACGGGGTAGATCAGACAACACCGATGACAGCTATTCGACGGAAGAGGGGGAAGAAAGCACAAACAAAAACAAGAAATCAAAGATACCTAAAACAAAGTGGTCACAGAAGGAAGGAAATGCTCCAATGGTAACTTCTAATAATCAAACAAGAAGTATGCCCAATGACAAGGATTTAAAAGAGGGTAATAGAAATAGAGTTCAGTACATAGATCCACCAAATGAGATCGATCATGGCATTGACAAGAACACTATGGAAGAAATGCTTAGAAATAACATGGATTCTCACATAACATACGTAGTGCATAACAATCATTACTATCTAGATCCAACTCGTGTGGCGGATTCAAATCAGCCGATGCAAAATCAAAATTCACAGAATGGAAAAGAACTTGAAAAGGTCTCTGATAAACTTGGACCAGGAGACCCAATGGAACCATATAAAAAGAGACGCCTTATTCCAAATGATTCAAACAGGTCAGACAAGGACGATTCTATAAAACACGAGGATCCCTCAGAGGTCCTTGGACCGGGCGATCCCTTAATTCCTTATGAAGCAGATGACAGGAAAAATGATGGTTCTTTTCCCGATGATAAAATGGCAAAAAATAAAACAACAAACACAAACCCAGAAAAAAGTAAACCCACACAGTCATCAAGTGGAGACAACCCAAACAGGCAGGAAAATCTACCCAATAATGCTAGCATGTCACATGTTCACCCTACCGAGAAATCCATGAACGGGAATCAAAGATCATTTGAAATGCCAAATTCTTCAGAAAATCACCAGAACGAAAACAATTCACCAGATCTGGTAAATATTCTCGGTCCAGGAGATCCCATCATTTTACGGTATTATGATGAGGACGATGATGATGATTCAGAAGATGATGGCACGATTAGAAAAGTCAGAAACAAAAGAAAGCCAAGCAAGTACTTTCCAAATTATAATTCGAACTCAAATCAGATTCCCAATTCCGGAAATATGGAAGAAGCTAGACAAGGTCAAATTCCACGGAATTATAAAGGTGATCCAAATGAATTGTTGAAAAACAGAATTTATCCCTATCCTTCAAACATGCCAGAAAACACAGCAACGATGAACAACGGCTCTCATCCGAATTCTTTATATCCGAAATATAATGGGGAGGACGGTCCAAATTTTAATCCGCACAATAGTAATTTCGAGGGATATGATCCAAACGGTGTGAATAATGGTGGATTTCCTCCGCACTTACCTTATGCACAGTACAAAGATGCACTCCAAAATCCTTCTTTAAGCAAAACTGAACCAACTTCCACGGAAATTCCAAGTCAATTTGATCCATATATGATGAATAAAGATGAAAAACGTCATAATTATCCCAATTCAGCGCAAGGTAGTCAATATCCAAACCCTTATAATCCTTATAACCCCAACGTGTCCAATCCAGGCAACGATAGTTACAATAACCCCCCAGTGTACTATAATCCAATACCAATCAACAGCAAAACTGGACAACCTTCCGGAAATCAGAAGGGATATTTACAAAATTCGCCAAATTCCTACGACAATTCAGGAAATCCGTTAAATCCACAAGATTTACCGAAAAATGATTATGCTCCGAACGCTAGGAGAATTAATCCAACCAATAGAAATAACCCAACTGAGACTAGTGGACTTAATCATGTACCTATACAGCGCAGCAATCTTCCTCGACATAACAAACATGATCCATTTTTTGATAATCAACCAATCCTACAGTTTGATCCCAATAAAGTGAACACGACAGAATATGAACAAATGAATCCAGGGTCTCAAAATTCATTACCATTTAAGCATATTAAACCTCAAAATGACAGTGACAATCAACGTGGAAATCCGTCCGTCTCTAAACACGACAAAAAGAGTGCACCTCAGAGCAATCCAAATGACAACACTCACGAAACTAACAAACCTGACGAGAATAGAGGGCGAAAACAACCTTCAATTCCCAGGAGTAATTTGTATTCAATGAACAAACCTAACCAATTTCCATCAAATGAAAATCCCTACTTTTCCAATGCTCCCGATTATTCTACAAGAAATCCAGAGACTGTGTCGGGTCCTAATTTTGTTCTGAATCCCGATGAACTTGGTAAAAACTTAAATGAGTATCCAAATGTCGGTCCCTACTCCTATATAAATCCTAATGAGAGTCTTCCTCCTGGAAACAGTGCCATGAATAATAGAAACCCTAATGAGTCAAATTTGGCTCCAAATCCAAACTCTGTTTTGCCAAACAACTATCAGGATTACCCACAAATAAAAACTGAAGAAAGGAGTGACTGGGATACCCCATTGCCTGTAGGACAGTCTGTTCAAAACCCAGATGGCACAATAGGCCCACCTAAAAGCTACAGTTCAAGTCGACGACCTCCTAAAGGACGTGCAGTAAAACTCAACAAGCAACCACAAAATCAATACAACTCAATACCCGAGGAGCAGAATAATCCTGCAAAAGAAAATCTTCAGAGTATTTCAAACCCAAACGCTTATAACCCGAGAATTTACCAGCCACATTCAAATCAAGGCCCACAACCAGGACCACATGGTTACCAAAATTCCAATGGAGGAAATATAAATGGATATATACCTGTTTTGAACGCTGGACCAAATGACCCCACTAGCGGATTTGACCCCTATAATGACGAAAGACCAAGGAATCCTTATGACAATCAACCTTCTACAGTAAATCAAGATAAAAATCCCAATAATCCTGTACCATCTCAAGGTTATCCTGCCGTACCAAGGTACAAAATTGCACCGAATGATACTGCACCAAATAAAGGAAAGCTAAATAGTATTTCAAATCCAGAAAGGTATGGTCCAGGAAATGGTCCATATAATCCTCCCGGAACGTATCCCAACTATGAACCTACTAATTCAGGTCAAGGAGGACCACAAAGTACTTTCCCGAACACTGGTAGACAGGATTACCCTCAAACTGGAGTAAATCCAGGTGCATATCCAAATAATGGTACGCATAATTACCCTCACAATAACCCACAAAATGGATCCGCAAATCCAAACGGAAATTACCCAGGCAATGGCATAAGTAGTAATCCAGGTAACCAATCAAATATTATGCCTCCTGGAACACATCCAAATACTGGGAATCCGAATAATTCACATCCTTATGACCCTTCAAAAAATATAGGATCACAACACTCGAACAATCCAAACCAAATAAATTTGGGTCAACCAAGTAATACAACTGGGAATGGTTTGAAGAATGGAAATCCAAATAATCCTGTAAATTCTAGCGGACAAAATTTGAACCCCGATGACAAACGTCCTGGCCTTCAACAATCAAACAAACCAATGAAAAGAGTGACATTTGAACCAAATAAAGAGACAACAACAAACAACGACAAAGAAAAGAACGGAGCAGAACCAACTCCCGGGAAGGTTCTTTGGGGTAGGGCAGCTAGGAAAATCGGCGTGTACTATCACTTAACTCGCCTTGACAAATGGGATATGGTGCATGGCCACGACAATAAGTATGATAAACGCGGGAAGGCGCCAAAAGTGGACAGCAGTGGGTGGAAAAAGAAAGGGAAGGACATTGATTTGATCTGATTTAATAAGAAGCAGGGGCAGTGATTTGATTTGGGTCAATGACTTTATGGAAATCAATGAATGTTCATATCTTTATAAACACAATTAGTGGCAATACGATGTAGAATTGATGGGGAGACCGGACTGGAAAGTCAATATCTGTTTGGAAACAGGTATCTTTTGTTTTGATAGTCGTATGTAGAATCCTGTATACCTGTTCGATAATGGGGATGATTCAGGAAAAAATACTGAGTTGGAACCAAATGACACGGTTTTTTTAAAAAAAGTATTTAAAATAAATTAGCAGAACATTTACAGATCCGAAAAACACTGAACATTTTAACATCAGTAAATCATGTAACAAGATCATTGATCTGAACTGAAATCATCTCAGAGAACGGAGAAGAGAGAACGTTTGTTATATAAATATAGATACAATGTACAAGGAAACAGTTTAAGATCTCTGTTGTCATGTTAACGTGTTCATCATATTTTTATTTTTTTTGCTATTTTCATTGTTATTGTTAAATAAACTCACTTGACATTTTTACTTCTATGTAGTCAATCAATTAAACCAATGCATATATTTAAGTAGCAGAAGAATTCCTAAATATTGTTATAGTTAAAGCAAACGTAGTCAATTTTGTCATTCTATACAAGAATAAATTGAAAGTTACTTAAGTTATCTGCATATATTTACATCTACTGAATATTAACTCCTTTATTTCTTATGAAAACTACGGTCATTTATGAATAATTGAACGCCACCAAGCAAACCACCTATATAGATTTCTTGAACAATGGCTCTTCCATCAATGAGAAATACAATGACGTACAATGAGATCAATAATACAATACTTAACATACTTAATCCTAATTTATATGATTATCTATACAGATATAAATAAACATAAAATACCTTTGTTTTTAGTACGGGAATTAACATTACAGCTATTACAGAAAAAAATACACTGTTTTGCAACAGTTGCAACATGAATTCCCATATAAACAATCAGAGAAAACGTATTTTTAAATATCATGAATAGGAGCTGTTTACGGTTTATAAACATATAACATTGATGAACTTCATGGAGCTTGTTAAATATCTAAATGTAAGAAGTACTTCCAGCATACAGTTAAGTTTGAGAATTGCATAATTTGAGAATTATGACAGTCTATGCTTTTAATTTACCTTGGCAAATAATGGAATATTTAAAATGTAATTTCTGTTGTTAAGTATGTTCAATTAGATAAATATTACTTATCAGTTACCTTAATTACAAATAAGATACAAAATTTTATTTTAAAGTTTCCTGTCAGTAAATGTGTGAAATTTAAAATGCACAAAATTTTTTTTGTCAATACGGGCAGAAATGAAGTAAAAGAATAAAATACAAAAAGCATTGATTAATACTTCAAGTTCACTATTTAGCAATTATTTATATTGTATAGGATTTCATAAGAATGAATAAAAAGTAATGTTTTCTACTTGTAATAGAAATGAGAGGCTTTTTACCAGAGCAAAATACATTATCGGTAAAACAAAGCATTGTAGAGCATGCTAAAAGTTTTTTTTTTTAAACAATGGATATTGCAGTATGTGCAAACAACATACATGTAAATCCTTTTTGACACATCGGCATATATTGTTTACTTAGTTAAAATATTATGAGTTTTGTTCATTTGGTTGGGCAACAGATATGAATTTTTAATTGACACGGATAAAAGCCTACTTTTTATGACTTAGTCTATATTGCTGTAGAGAGTAATAACATTTAAGAGAATTTCAACTGTTACAAAACTGTAATGATAAATGTAATTGAATTGGTCATCGGTGTGTGTTTTCTGGACTATGTTGACACAGGTATGTACGCATGGATAACTGTAAAATACTGACGATGATTATATAAATCATTAAATGCACAGATAAATTTATTTCTTCAATTTTTCTAAAAATTAATTTTTATGAGTAATTTAGATCATAATTATGTTAATATAAACAACCTGTTGTTCTGTTTTTGTGTAAAATAAACTAAATAATGCCTTTGATGGTCTATTAATTCCAAAGTCATCTAGAATCTGTTTTTTTTTTATAAAGATGTACTGAGCAAATCGTTGTATTGACTAAAACAATATGTATCATATTATCTCTAAAATGATTTGAATTTGATTTTAATTAACGGATCATTTTTACATTTAATTCAATCAATGGTTAAACTTTCTCAAATTCAAATCAAATATGTTGGTACCCAAAGTAAAGTCTTGTACCGAGAAATATACCTGTGAAATATGAAAGCCCTAGCAGCAATCATTGAAAAGATATGGAAATGGTTAAAGTTTTTCAAAAGTAAGTCAAAATCAAGGTCAAGGTCAAAATTAATAGTGCACAAGGAAAGGGCTTCTCACAAGAAATACACATGTGAAATATGAAAGCCCTAACACCGACCGTTTCAAAGATATGACAAACGTTAATTTTTTTTTTTCAAAAGTAGGTCAAAGGGTCAAAGTTGTTCGTATCCTAAGTAAGGTCTTGTCACAAGGATTGCATATGTGAAGTTTGAAAGCCCTAGAACCAACTGTTCAAAAGAAATGGAAAAGGTTAAAGTTTTCCAAAAGTAGGTAAAACTCCAAGGTCAAGGTCAATGGGCTATAATTGTTGGTATCTAATGGAAGGGCTTGGCAAAAGGATTGCATATGTGAAGAATGAAAGCCCTAGCACCAACCGTTCAAAAGATATGGCCAATGTTAAAGTATTTCAAAAATAGGTCAAACTCGAAAGTCAAGGTCAAAGGGTCAAAGTTGTTGGTATCCGAAGGAAGGTCTTGTCACAAGAATTACCCATGTGAAATATGAAAGTCCTAGCATTAACCGTTCAAAAGTTATAGCCAATGTTAAAGTTTTTCAAAAGTAGGTCAAACTCGAAGGTCAAGGTCAAAGGGTCAAAGTTGTTGGTATCCAAAGGAAGAACTTGTCACAAGGATTACATATGTGAAGTATGAGAGCCCTAGCACTAACCGTTCAAACGTTATGACCAAGGTTAAAATTGGGGAAAATTTTGTAAAACTGGGTCAAACTCAAAGATCAAGATCAAAAGGTTAAATATGATGGTACCCAAAGAAAGGTCTTGTCAAAAGAAATACACATGTGAAATATGAAAGCCATAGCTCCAATCAATCAAAAGTTATGAGCAATGTTAAAGTTTTTGTGGACATACAGACAAACAGACAGACAGACGGACAGGGCAAAAACCCAAATCTTCGATACGGAAGCATAAAAACGACTTGCTGTGGCCTTCAACTCGACATTTAGATATAACAATGGCTATTTCCATTCTTATGTCGATACGATATATCCTTGTGGGCTTGAGATAAAAGATACCACAGAGTCTGACACATCTGTTTCATATTTGGATATTTTACTTGAAAAAGACGTTAATGGTAATCTAACAACCAAGCTTTATGATAAACGTGATGACTTTAACTTTTCAATCGTCAACTTCCCTTACTTATGCAGCAATATACCTTCATCACCTGCATACGGGGTATATATCTCTCAGTTGATTCGATATACAAGATCATGCTCTACGTGCGTACAATTTCTAAAACGAGGTAAATTATTGACAAACAAGTTGATGAAACAAGAATATCAGCTGTCTCGTTTAAAGTCATCATTTCGTAAGTTCTATGGTCGATACAATGATCTTGTCAGCAAATACAATTTATCATTGAGTCAAATGCTGACTGACGTTTTTCATACAATTGTTAGGCCATTATTTACACCTGAATTGTCGACGGATTTTTCCGTTATTTCCCGATCATGACAAGGAGCACACGGCGGGTGTGACCGGTCGGAAGGGGATGCTCACTCCTCCATGGCACCTGATCCCACCTCTGATGTTTGGAGGTCCGTGTTTGCTCAGCTCCTATTTTGTATTGTTTGATGGACTTTTGAGCCTGAATACTGTTCGTTATCTTCATATATTTCATGATGCTTCTATACAATACGACTCTTTTGTCAAGGTTTTTATTTTGGTTCTTCTGAGAAAAACTGGGATAAAGCACAGTCTGAATGTGAAGGGAGAGGGATGCGGCTCGTATGTCTGAAGAATGCATCCCAGTACCAGGCAGCGAAATCTTACTTAGAGACCCAAAGGTGACTGAAGTGTGAATAATGATTATTTTACGATGTGTACAAAATCCGTCCATATTTCAAGACATACAAAAGAAATATCATTTAGACATATTAATATTAATATTATTATTATTATTATTATGCATAATGAAAGGTAATGATATAAATAATCTTACAGATAATGAGCTACACAACATTAATCATTATCCTCTAACCTGTATTGAATCAACATTTATCATTACAATTATTGAAAGATATTAAGAGCCATTCTCTATAATGACTTGAACTTTTATATATTAGCTGTGGCAAGCATACAGTGCAGGAAACTAATTTTGTTACAGCATCGATGCTGATTTGAATGCTTCCTTTGCTTGCTGATTTGAATGCTTCCTTTGCTTGCTGATTTAATGCTAGTAATCCTTATCCTGATGCTGTTTTATAATTAGGTCAATGCTACCGGAAGTAGCATCATGCTACCGGAAGTAGATAATGAATTTCAGCATTGCCGTTTAAAGCAATAAAAGTGCCTTTTACAATTATTTGATCATAATATCTCACTATGTATCAATAATGTGAATACTTTAACCAATATTCTTTCTTTCTTTTTTAATTTTTTACTGAATTAAAACTCATTGATTTCCTGATGCTAGTAGGATAATGCTGATTTTATGTAGGTCAATTCTGGCTTTATCCTTTGCTTGCTGATGCTGATCCTGGTAATGCTGTTTTTTAAATGCTGATCCTGATGCTAGCTCGATCCTGATGCTACTAATGCTTATGCTGATGCTGGTTTATGTAACAAAATTAGTTCCCTGCACTGTAGTCTCAGAATTTTCCCAAACTCTCTATGATAAAAGTCTTTGATATCGTAAACTCAAATCAAGCAAAAATTGGTTGCTACATATCTTGGTTACCATGGCAGCATGTTCTAAAATTTGGAAACAAAATATTCAAAAGTAAAAATTTTGTTCATTCAATTTTATAAAGTCATACACTTAAAAATAAAAACAATTATAGGTTGAAATGCAAGCAAATAATAGAGAAAAGATCCTTGGAACATATACCAAGGACGAAATATGATATTTCTTATTTGGTTGGCAATGGTTGCTATGGTTATAATACCACAAAGGGATTTCATACTCTCTGTATGTTTTAATCTGATCATATCTTTTTAAAAAGCACATTTCTATATAACTGGTGATTCTAGTATGAACGCTATTTAATCTAGTCTAAACGATGGAGTCTGGATCGGTCTTCGAACAAATTCCACCAGTTCCCCGTATGTGTTCCGCTGGATAGATTACAAAGTGTCCACTTACCTTCTGTGGGATGATGAGGAACCAGATGATGAGCAGACAGACAAATGTGTCCGACTGTATCTAAATTCTTTCCGGTTTGGCACTAGGCATTGCAGTGCTAAGAAACATTTCTTATGTGAAGGTAAACTCTCATTCTCTCTCTCTCCTCTCGCTATTCTAAACACAAAAAACACATACCACGCACGCACACAAACAGTTAACATATTTTAAAACAAAATGTTGAAATTGTTAATACTTCCATCAATCTTCGCAGGAAAAGATTGTTTTAAATAAGAAACTCTTGAAACATAGAATTATTCTGAATCCACAGCGAGGCTGTGGCCCAATCAACTCTCGGTAAAAGTCGGTAATTTTCTTACATTTATAAGGAGCGATCATATCATATCCTGTATTGACCCTATTCCCTGCATTGGAGAACTGAATTCATATATAATGAGAATAATGCTAACTCATCTTCACCATGAGGTTTTGTAGATTTTTAAAAGTTCGAGATTCACTAAGCTAGATTTTCTGTCCTTTTGGTAAGTGTATATTTATACTAGCCTGGATATAGATTAACATTCCAAATCAATGTAAGAAACATTTTATTTCAATGTTTTCTGAAACTCATAACTTTTGTTCGAAAAGCGTTTTGTTTTTGTTGTAAAAATGGAAACCTATAATTCCAGTCGGAGCTGAAGTGAAATGTGAAGACAACAAACAGGGTCAAACTCGTAAATCCAATTTAACAACACAGACTATGTGCAGAGACAAACAGACCTCTGAAAACAGAGGTGGGATCAGGTGCCTTGGAGGAGTAAGCATCCCTGCCAACCTTTATATCTGCCGTGTGCTTTTTTTCATGATCTGGTATCATTGTAAAAACAAGGGCCTAACCATTTGTATAAACGATATGTTGACGCGTCAGAAATGGTAGATTTTTTTTATTAATATCGCTACTTATTACTACGTTAACCACCAGTCTAAAGTGTTATTTTTCAAAAAGGATCATTAAAAAACCCAGTCAAAGAATGAAAAATTAAGTATAACTTGTAACCTTACAAATATAACAATTTAAAATGGAAAGAAAATGTGTTGTTTGTTACATTTTCCTTTCTAGTATTACATTGTTTCTTAACATATAATATCCTCGATTTTTTTGTCATCTCAAACTTTCATCAAAATATAAGTTCATAAAATTTTTTCTGGTGTACGTGCAACATCCTGTTTATTATAACATCGACAAATTTATATGGACTGCAATATCCACTAAATTATGCCATAACAACAGTATAAAATCAAGATTTTTTTTCTGGGCTGCTATATTTTCTAGATTATCCCATCAACGGTACAAAATTATACCATCGACGGTACAAAATTATACCATCGACGGTATAACTTACGAAATTTTTCTGGGCTGCAATATCTTCTAGCTAGATTATACTATCGACGGTATAAACTCATGAAATTTTCTGGTCTGCAATATCTTCTAGATTATGCCATCGACGGTGATACTTTCATATATCTAGTTATTACTTTAAAATTCCTTTCACCAACATAGAATATACGAATATTCAAGATATTCTTCTGAACTGCAACATCCTCTAGATTTGGCCATTGATGGCGGATAGTCGATGTATACCACATGGTGTATCTTCTTGAACCGATTGTATAAACTCATGAATATTGTATGGGCTGCTATATCTTCTAGATTATGCCATCGACGGTAAATGGTCGATGTGGTCCTCCTGGTCGTCTTGCAGCGCCACCTGTGGGAACTTCACGCGGACCCGTATCCGGTCATGTGATTCTCCCCTCCATCAAATGGTGGTGTACATTGCTCAGGTGCAGGTGACCAAAAGAAACTCTGTGATTTACAAGGTTGTCCAGGTACTTGAAGTCTACCTTCATATAAACATGAAGATTTTGTATTAAGATTACAAAGAGAACTAGAAAACGATGCTATTAATGATAACTTTTATTTCTTAGATATGCAGAAAGAACAATTGAACAAAATCGCAATTTCATTGAAATTCACTTTGTGATTGTTATTCAATTTATGTTTGTTATTCATTTTATAATGTTTTTCACTTTTTGTTTGTTATTCCCTTTATGATTGTTATTCACTTTGCAATAAAACCCGTGCTTCTTCAGTCGATGGTTTCTGGTCTTCATGGAGTGAATGGTCAGACTGCGTTATGGTCAATTGCACTTTGAATAATCAAACACGTGTCAGATCATGTGACTCTCCACCCCCACAACATGGCGGCAGAGACTGTGAAGGTGATGCTCATCAGGAAGAGAGCTGTGAACATTTAATGTGCTCATCTGGAGATCGTAAGAATGTGTTGAGATGAATTGCTTTTTTACATTTTTAGTTCTTTGTTGGAGTGAAATGTGAAGATATGGAACAAAATTCATTCTCAAAATCCCATCAAAATCAGAAAATTTTATTTACCGCCGGATTTATAGCAACAAACACAAGCTCTATAGAGCGTTTGACGACATGAAACAATTTAGCAGTGCAATTACTTGTGAACAAAGCAAAGAGGGCCTCTATAAACTTCATAGGTGTGTTCAGATGCCACTAAGGAGTAAGCATTCCCTTTCGACTGCACACACCCATGATCGGGTAAAAAGAGTTAACTTTAGATACGTTAGTATAAAAATTAATCCCTACCTTTTTTTTCTCAGAATTTAGAAAAAAAAAATCATTAAGTCGTATTTTGATTGACACATTTCATACCAATTAGGTCTCTTCGTTAACCTGATCAATAACAGTAAATGGGTTTCGTGGTGGGGATGACCGGTCGGCAGGGGATGTTTCCTCCTCCTAGGCACTTGACCCCACCTCTGGAATTTCAGGGGAAGGGGGACCTCATTTTATGCCATTTGCACAGATTTGTATTGTTTGTAGGTGTTTTTTTTAGTTCGATCTCTTTTATCTTCATCTTTTCATCTAAAACGTTTTGAATTAAACTATATCTACGATATCTAAGTCAAGATAGTTTGTCAGTATCTCTAACCGATGAAAGCTTCTTCTGGTTAGCGTATTTATCAGTGCTTAAGGATGAGCACCTTCTTTGAAATATCTCTCAGATTTGATAAACATCTACATGACTTGTGCTTTTTCTGGATGATGGGTTATCTTTTATAACACTTTGTCTTTAATTTTTCATGCATGTATTGAACAAGGTGAAGACTACTAACGATGATCGAAAAAACAAAACATTTTGCTTCATTTCAACAATCTTGACACTGGCATGTTTATACTCAACTATCCATCTGGTCAGATTGTAGTAGGTTGATATATTTGATAAAACTTATACACGACAAAAGAAGTGATAATGACGTATTCAAACAAACCTTCATTGCTTATGCCAGGGTCCTATATACAATGTTTTAGTGTATACGCCCTTGCTTATACATGTATACGTATTTTTTTATACTCTTTTTTAAGGTTATGTCTGTGCACAATATCCTGACAATTTTATGTCTTCACCTGCACTACAAGAAAAACTCCAGAAAATGTCAAAAGCCTTGAAAGTCAACAAAACAAATCTGTCTTCACAAATGCGCAAAAAATCTTGCGCAGAGGACGCAAGACCAACGTCGAGGTTCATGGGTTACGTAGCTGCGATCTGCATTGGAGTTTATTTGGGACTTTTGATGATAATAGACTGCTCTACCTTTTTCGGATGGATATATTCAAAATTATTAAGATGAATTATTTTGCAAATACACGGACTATGTTTATCAGAAGAAACATTTTGGATTTAATCTTTATGCCAGGGAATTTTCCATTTTCTGACTTCAATATCCTAAACGTGAATCAAGGCAGTAGACTATGATTTTCAACATGCAATAAGATACTATTTCCGATCGAAACATTTAACAACAAATTATTTTGAAAGAGAATAAAAAACTAAAAGTTGCATATAATAAAGATGCGGATTTTCATGTACGGTAGTTGTTTGATTTGTAACGAATTGTCATAAATCACCCAGTCTCCTTTTTTAGAATAAGGTCAGCTTTATATTAGTTTATGAATTTATTACCCATTTTTTCTGTATTTATTTTTTCAAATGAAAACTCACTTATCTTTTTTTATTTTTCTAAAATCGACATAAATTACAAAAAAGATAATGTTTCTCTGCCATAGATAGAGATATGAATTAATTGAATAAAAAAAGGAGGCAATGACGAACAGTGATCCTATAATTTTTTTAAGAGGACAATATAAAACACGGGCCCCTTGAACTTCCAGAGGAGGGATTAGATGCCCAGGAGGAGTAAGAGCACATGGCGAATGTGACCGACTGACAAGCTTACTCATCCATGGCACCTGATCCCTTCTCTGATAGAGGTGTATGTTTACTTTGCTCCCAATTTGTATTGTTTGAATGGACTTTTGACTTGATTATAATACTGTTCGTTATCTTAATATTTCATTCTTAAACTATCTCACCAAAACTGTTCCTTTCTAGACTTAAGACTCAGTTTACCTTTCTGTGTCAAATTAAACAATTGTGAGAAGGAAATAATTTTTTTTTTTATTTCTTTGTACTTTGAAATGTACTTGCATTACTTCTTTTATGGAAGCAATTCCATTAGTTCGCGATCTTTTTGTTCACCCCTCGTACATAATGAAAAAGATGAAGACACAAATAGTGATCGATCTCAAATAAATAAATAAATAAATAATTAAAATCAACAAACAACAGACGGGGCGTTAACACGTGTCTCCGGAATTTTCAGAGGTGACTTAAAACAGTTAAATCACTCCCATCTTGTTCCTTTTTTAACAAGTACACGGAATATTCCGCTGTATTGAGAATTTATCATATCAGAACAAAAACGTACAAATCACATTAAAAAAAAAAGCTAAAAGATGCATGAAAAATTGCGACGCGTTTCGTGATACAGTCCCAGTTCGAGCCGTATCGTTAGAACCCTACTACTCCCATTTTCTGAGCAAGAAAATATTTTGAAATGATACCATTTCGATGGGTTTTGCATGGTGCACTGAAGCTGTTTTTTCTCAAATTTGTTTTCTTTGAAAAACAAAATATACTAGCATCCCTTTATACTGAATTTGATTACGGTATTTTCCATCTACCTGATCAATACATAGGGCTCACAGCGAATGTGGACAGGGGATGAAATACCGGTATTACCATTCATTTGCATTATTAAAATCACAAAAATCATTAATACTTGAAGTTCACTTTTCTATAAACATATATAATAAAGATTGAATAATGGTAGATAAAAAATGGTTTTCGACACAAAATAGGAATGAAATACCCCTCTCTTTTTAGACAGTTTAAAACAATGAACTCACTTAATTGTTACTTAAAAGCGTGTTAAAAGGTTTTGGGTAATATATAAAGGTATACATTATTGATTGTGACGCTTTGTGTTAACATAGCAATAAATGAAATGATTTGTAATACAGGAATATTCTGTTTACATTGTTATATCATGTTTGATCTATATGATTGGTCAGCAAATACCAAAATTTCTGATTCACATGGATAAAAACCTCTGTGGTCTGTGCTCAGGTCTATATTTCTCGAGTGCCGAGTCTGGATTTCCAGCTGTTGGGGAGCTATAATGATAAAGTTCATTAAATTGGTTATCGTTATATGCTGTTTAGACTATGCTGACGCAGGTAAGTGCCTATGAGTAAAATGTTCATTACATAGGGTAATTATAATAACAATTTAATACATTAAAACATTTATTGTAAATTTACTTGAAAATATTCATATAAAGTGATGTTGCCCCCAGATGTGTTCATGTATGATTACGTAAATATAAGTACCTGGCTTACAATTTGATTACTTTTTTCTGAAATAGCACCTTGCCCCACCTCTGATGTGTTTAGAGGTCTATGTTTACTTTTTGTATTGTTCCAATGGACTTTTGAGCTTAATTACGGCTCATTATCTTCAAATTTCATTCTATAAATAAGAAAGTAAAAACAAAAAATTAATCTCAACGATAACCATCAGTTAACATTTATTCAGTGGATTACTCATTTAAAATCTCCACGATTTGCTACTATCTCAAGCTATTCAAATTATTCATGAAATAGCATACACACATAAAAAGGACTATTTCTTTTTATTTCTTCATACTTAAACATAATTTTCCCACATGAATAGGACTTAGCCCAGTTTTCTTTTGCTGATAGTATATATTTAAACTGCGTATTGCAATTTTTGTTGGTCGCCCGCATGGCGCAGTGGTTAGAGCGTCTGCTCTAGAGTCGCGAAGTAAGGAGTTGATCCTTACGTCGCGGGTTCGAATCCCACTGTGGGACGTGGAGACCATTCCTTCGGATGAGACTGTATAAACCGAGGTCCCATGTCGCAGTAGGTGCTGGCACGAAAAAGATCCCTCACTGCTCAATGGCCGTAAGTGCGGAGCATAGGACAAAATTTGCAGTTCTCCACCGGCAAGTGGTGGCGTCTCCATATGAGTGAAAAATTCTCGAGAGGGACGTTAAACATCATACAAACAAACAATTTTTGTTGATAAAAACATGGAGCAAGGACTCACTCTTTCCGGGAAATATTTTAACTTAAGTTACTAGTAACATCTTACAACAAACAAGCTTTAATTGGCAATGCCTATTATGGGTTGTGTTGTGTAGTGGTTAGCGTGTCTGTCTCAACGTTGTTTCCAGGATTTTTCTTTGGTTCTACCCGGAAGAAGTGGGATGCTGCGCGGTCCGAGTGTGAGACGAGAGGAATGCGGCTCGTATGTCTAAAGAATGATGCCCAGTATCTGGCTGCTAAGTCCTACCTACAAACCAAAAGGTAACTAAATGACAATGTAGATGAAAGATTTACAGGCTATATACCGATCGGTTACGTGATTAAATGACCAAAAATTCAATTTTTTTCATTCCAGTCATATAGGAATCAATAATGCATCCATTATTTTTTGAAAGGGAAAACTGATAGGCATATATATATATATATATATATATATATATATATATATATATATATATATATATATATATATATATATATATATATATATATATATATATATATATATATATATATATATGAAATGGAGAGAAAAAAGCCTGAGCATAGACCAGAATAAGGAAATAAATCTCAAAAAGGGTCTTACTATATGATGAAAAGTTTGAAAAAGGTTGAATCTTTGTCTCATCTAAATTTATCGGTAGGATAAGCAGTTCATTTATGATAATGGCAACCTGTAGATCATTGGGTGTTAGATGACATTTAGTTAATTTTAATTCTCAATGGAACCCCTCTATTTATCAGACAGAGGTCGGATACTCCTTTTCCGGGTTATATTTTTTTTCTGTTTCGATCTTTATCATTACGAATATTACAAGACTCTTAGTACATATTGAAGATAATTACGTATTGTATTATATAACTGTTGTTATTCGTGCTACATTTGTATGTGTATATCATAATAACATATTTATTTAGTGCTAATTCTTGTGGATAAAGAATGTAAAGTGAAGCAAAGGAATTCCATGGCTTTCAAGTTTAACTATCATTTGTTCTTTTTACTAGCCTTCAAGAAGGAGTTTGGATCGGTCTTCGAACCCAGTCCACCGGTTCCCCGTATGTATACCGCTGGATTGATGGGGAGGTGTCTAGTTACCTTCGATGGAGATCTGACGAACCAGATAACCAGGAGACAGACAAATGTGTCCGGCTGTATGATGGTTCCTTCCTTTTTGGTACTAAAGAGTGCAGTAGTGAGAAACATTTTTTATGTGAAGGTAAACTATTTCTCTCTCCCCCTCTCTCAAATAAATCCTCACTTCCAGACTATAAATGAAAACATTGATACTTAAGTTGCTCTTTACAACTGGAGACATTGATATTTATGTCTCTATTATATCTCAACGTTTGTCGCTCCAATGATGTATAAGATTCTTATATTGGTTAAAATTTGTTTCCATTCTGATATTTTCACTAAGTTCATACCGTTCACGGTAGCTCAGTCGGTAGAGCGCTCGCTCCGTGATCGGGAGGTCGTGAGTTCGAATCTCGGCCGCGACAGACCTAAGTCGATAAAAAATAGGTAGCAACTGTTCCTTCGCCATGCGCTCGGCACTTTGGAGTGAAAGTTGCGGGTCTTTCGGATGAGACCTTAAAAACCGAGGCCCCGTGTCACGGCAGGCGTTGGCACGATAAAGATCCCTCACTGCTCAATGGCCCTGAGTGCCGAGTAAAGGTCAAAATTTGAAGCCCTTCACCGGTATATGGTGACGTCTCTATATGAGTGAAAAATTCTCGAATGGGACGTAAAACAATATACAATCAATCAATCAATCACTAAGTTCATTCCTGAGTGTTGCAAAATGAAAATGTCTCTTTCCACATATGGCTGTGCACACTCTAGGAATTTTTAAAATTTTTAATTTTTAAAATATCTTAAAAGTTCGTATCTTGCGTATACTCAGAATTGGTATGTAAGAAATGCATAGTTGATCATCACAGTTACAATCATACTTTTTATTGATAAACCTTAGAGCTCACTCTTAAATTTTTTTTCATTTTCCTAGTACATGTATTGCTTTTACACTACCATTGAGCAAAAATTAAAATTTGATAGTTCATGCATATAAGTAGGAAAAAAATTGATAACCCTTTAGGAACATTAATTTATTATATTATAGTCTCTTCACAATCTTTTTCAGGCTCACCAAACATGAAAATTGGTTTCTTTTAAAAATGTTTTCTTTCCAACAACTAAGATCTAACACTTACCTGGATTTGCCTGCATACATTTTTCTGTGAATCAGTTTATGGCTATGCTTCCCTTTTTCGGAGTGCTAATAGGACTAACAACATTTTCATGAGAGTGAGATAAAGTAATATCATCAACGTAGTTGTATAGGACTGATTTCTTGATAAATAAAAAATGTCATTTAAAAACACATTAAAAAGCAATGGCCCTAAGATTGAACCTTTCTTGGTATTTGCCCATGAACTGATTACATCTTGTACTTTGACACATTATTTTTGATTTGTAAAGTTATCTTTCGCCAACTTCACTGAATTTTTGGACGACTGTATGCTTTTTTCCTTACAAAGTTCGTTAAAGCTATTTAATTCTCCTCAAACGTCTTTTTGGTCCATGTGAAAATCTCCCTGTATCTGCTTATAATATTAGGGATATGAAGAATATAAATATTTTTTGATTGATTATCATGATCCTTTTTTTCAAAATTTAAGGATTCTAGAATTAAGATTAAATAAAATATATAATTGATATAATATAGTGTTTGTAATCCTATAGATGAAGCAATTTAAAATGGAGAAAAGACAATTTAATATTTAATTTGTTATTTCATTGTTTACAGTTTTCATACACATTCATTCACCTCATTTTTACTTCAAAATTTCTTTCACCAACAGATAGGAGTATTTAATATTTTTCTGAGCTGTATTATCTTCTAGATTATGCTATCGACGGTGAATGGTCGAAATGGTCCTGGTGGTCGTCCTGCAGCGCCACCTGTGGGAACTACACGCAGACCCGTATCCGGTCATGTGATTCTCCCCCTCCATCAAATGGTGGTAAACATTGCTCAGGTGAAGGGGAACAAACGAATCTATGTGATTTACCAAGTTGTCCAGGTACTTAATAAATATAAATATATATACTGCAGCACAATTATAAAGAGTTTTAGAAAAAGTATTGGATGCCATGACTAATTTATGGATAGATGAAAGTAACAGTTAAGCAGTCACAATTTTAAAACAATTATGAATGCTATTCATTTTGTAATTGTTATTCACTTTTCATTTTAACCTTAACTCAGTCGATGGTTTCTGGTCTTCATGGAGTGAATGGTCAGACTGTGAAGTGATCAATTGCACTTTGAATAATCGAACACGTGTAAGATCATGTGACTCCCCAAAACCACAATATGGGGGCAGAGACTGTGAAGGTGATGCTTATCAAGGGGAGAGCTGTGAACATTTAATGTGCTCATCTGGAGATCGTAAGGATGTTGTGATATTTTTACGTTTTTTAATGCATTTTAATTTCTATGTTGAAGACAATATCTCTCCGGTTGTCTGCCATAAAGATATAATCGAGTTAAGAATAGTTCTTATATATTTTATGAAAAAAAAAATACAAACGAAAACGTAAAGTAATGCTTCAGTTTAATTTTTAAAAATCGCACATAAGAAGGAAGAAATGTAATTTAAAATTTTGAAATTCATTTTTATAATAATGTGATATTATACTAGAGTAAAAGCATTCATTAGCTTAAGAAAAAAAATTGATGCCATAATAAATCATTACTTACTATTTTAGAATGCTTAACTATATTTTTTGTAATGATAGGATTGGTTTTCAACAAAGTTATATCTGTTGTCGATATATTTATTGCAATTTTTGAATAGATGAATTTGAAAGATCTTACAGATCACATTTTATCATGATATCGCCCACTAGATATAGCATAAAAGATTTTATAAATTACGACGTTTTTGAGTAACTTTATGACATTGTTCAACTCGTAGTGTTTGAAAGGGCGATGTAAAGTATCGGCCGAATTTGGCCCCTTGTTGGATGTTAAATCAAAATAAAGTAAATATATATATAATATATAATTAAGAATTTCAAATGTATTGTTGTTTAAAAACCAGCACTGATTTTGATTCAGAGTACAGGGAGGCCACAGAAGAATGCCAATGTAGGACATTTAACCGAATTTCTTCAGTTTTAGTTAAGGTCAAATTTGTGTTACTTCTCACTTCAGGAAACACACACCACATGGATGCCTTTCTGTAACCTTTATGTGCCTCAGAACTAAAAAAAAAACAATGTTCATTTTGTAAGAAGGATGACAGCAATTTTAAAAAGATGAACTATTGCATCGTTGTTAGAAACCCTAGAAACCGGAGGCTAAAAGGGGTCTTAGCATATCTTATCCTTTGCCCTGGACGATAGACTTATTTAGCTTTCAGTCCATTTTATTTCCATCTTTTGTTCAAAAAGACTGAAGAAAAAATTATTAAAAAATACAAAATTACGGAGTATTTTAATTTATTTTCAGATATGGTTATTAAAGAAAAAATTGTTAAAAAATACAAAAAAAAACAAACAAAAAAAACAAAAAAAAAAAAAACAAAAAAAAAAACAAAAACGGAGTGATTTCATTTATTTTGAAAGATGACTATTCTTACAATGTACACAATTCGAAACACATTCAAACCTTCACAGTAATCGCTCAATTACAGGGATCTGTATGTAATGTATGGAGATAACGAACAGTATTCAAGCTCAAAAGTCCATTCAAACAGTACAAATAAGGAGCAAAGCAAACACGGACCTCTAAAACATCAGAGGTGGGATCAAGTGTCATGGAGGAGCGAGCGTCCTCTGCCGACAAAAATAATACATTTATCTTGCAAACCTTCACATGTTTCTACACAGTCATGTATCTAGTGTATGTACATCTAATCTAGAAGAAGACGTTCAATTACCATCGTGATAGAGACAGAAATACAGACATGCTTTCGTCAATCCACCCATCTGGTCAGATTATTGTGGGTTAATTATGTTTTATCTAAATTTGTACTTCATTTTATGAATCCATGTATCGATCCCTCTGCATCACAATATCTTGTATCGAATTATTGCTACACACCTACCCATCAATGAAAGAGCATATATAGGACAACAGAAGAAATGATTACAATGTATTTGCACTGTGGTATCCTCATTGTTCGTGGGGGTCAATGTTTGTGGGTAAGCAAAATTTGACTGGTTTGTGGGAATATAATTTCGTGAGTAACTTGAATATTTTATTATTAAAAAAAAATCAACTGTGCTAAATGTATGTATGTTTCAATGTTTGTGGAGACATTAATTCGTGGGTAAGAGTTACCCACGAAATCCACGATCATTGATCCTCCACGAAGAGTGATGATTCCATGGTAGGTTGAACAAATCTTCATATAAAAAGAAAAGAATAAATAGTACTTATCTTTTTTTATTCACTTCCTTTTTAGGTTATATCTGCGCGCAATTTCCTGACAACTTTATTTCTTCACCTGCGCTTCAAGAAAAAATCGACGAAATGTCAAGAACTTTGAAAATAAACAAAACAAATTTGTCGTCACAGATTCGCAAAAAATCATGCGCAGATGATTCAAGACCAACATCGAGATACATGGGATATGGAGGTGCGATATCTATTGGAATTTACTTAGGACTTTTGATGATAATTGACTGCTCTTCCCTTTTAGGATGGATGTATTCAAAATGTATTAAATGATTATTTTGCAAATATATCTTTAAAAAAAAAATATTTATACTTCTAACTGATCAGAAAGATTTGATTTGGGGAATCACAAATTTGGATTGATCTGCTTGGCAGGGAAATTATCAATTTGTCTACCTTTTCAATTTGATGTTGAATCGTAAAAAAGAAGAAGTCTACGTTATAATTATTGCAAACAAACAATAAATCATCACTTTTAAAATATATTGAGAAACTAAATATCCTGGGTTTTTCTGTTTTTGTTTAAATTCAAACCTACTGCATTTGCCTTAAATACGAGCATGACAAAAAGATGCTCTTATTATTGAAAACGTTTGTATTTTAGTTCGTAACAAATTATAATGTGTTCCATGCACCTGTTTTTGTCAAAAAATGGGGTAAATATTGATATTCATTGGTTTTAGACATTCGGTTTGCTTTTAATTTTCCGTATATTTTTTCCTAGTAAAAAAATTATATTACTATCTTATTCTCATTTTTCATCTTACTCTTAAATCGGAATACTAGTTATGGTTGTTTTCATGTAATGTGTGAAGTTTAAGGAAAAAAATAATTCTCATAAATCCAGTAAACAAAACGAATCGTAAAAACACGCCCACTGAAAACACCAGAGAAGGGATCAGAAGACTAGGAGCAGTAAGCATCCCCTGATGACTGTTGGAGCCGGCCGTGAGTTCAATATATATTGATCTGATAAACGGTGTACCCCGTACTCAAATATAAAAAGAGCCATGATCTTACAAATGGTATTCATCATGTCAGACAAAATACGACATATTACGACAAATCTCGCATTAAACGATTGAGGGGCTGTATGAAAACCATCTATCCCTTTGTATTCAATAATTCAGAGGTGAAAAAACAATTAGATAGAGAACACGATCAGTACGTACTGGTCCCTGCTGACAAAGCAGGTAACAACATTGTCTTTGTAAGGTTCATTATATAAATTTTATTTTAGAGGAACTGGGATTTAATTCTGCAAGTGTAATCTAACTTATACCCATAGCTCCCTTTCTAAGAAAGAATTTCTTCAAAATCATATGTCAGTTTTGAATATTTTTAATATTCCCAACGACCAAAATGAATTTGAATTACAATCTCTATATTGGATTCCGAAACTTCATAAAAATCCATACAAACAAAGATACATAGCGGGTTCCAGCAAATGTTCACCAAGCCTCTTTCTTTACACCTCACTAAGATACTGACAGTAGTGAAGGAGAAACTTCAAGGGTACTGTGCAACAATATATTCGAGAAGTGGCGTAAATCAGATGTGGATACTAAAAAATCCAATGAACTTTTGGAACATTTGAAATCACGAAATTTTGCCAAAATCAACAACATAAAAACGTACGACTTTTCTACTTTATATACAATGAAATATATGAAGATAACGAACAGTATTCAAGCTCAAAAGTCCATTAAACAATACAAAATAGGAGCAGAGCAAACACGGACCTCCAAACATCAGAGGTGGGATCAGGTGCCATAGAGGAGTGAGCAACCCCTGCCGACCGGTCACACCTGCCGTGTGCTCCTTGTCATGATCGGGAAATAACGGAAAAATCCGTCGACAATTCAGCGTGTAAATAATGGCCTAATAATTAGTATGAAAAATGTCAGTCAGCATTTGACTCAATGATAAATTGTATTTGCTGACAAGGTCATTGTATCGACCATAGAACTTTCGAAATGATGACTTTAAACGAGACAGCTGATATTCCTGTTTCAACAACTTGTTTGTCAATAATTTACCTCGTTTTAGAAATTGTACATACGTAGAGCATCTCTTGCGTATCGAATCAACTGAGAGATATATACCCCGTATGCAGGAGATGAAGGTATATTGCTGCATAAGTAAGGGAAGTTGACGATTAAAAAGTTAAAGTCATCACGTTTATCATAAAGCTTGGTTGTTAGATTACCATTAACGTCTTTTTCAAGTAAAATATCCAAATATGAAACAGATGTGTCAGACTCTATTCCCCACGATAAATTCAAGTCCAGACTTTCTGACAACGTTGAAAGTTGCTTTTTCAATAAAAATGGAACTCGTAAGTTTAATTACCTTGTTATTGATCATTTGCAAAATCACTTTGTTAAAAAACAATCTGATTGTACACACAAGTACTTTGAAGTTGACATTAAAAGGATGCTCGAGTTTCTGGTTGACAATATCTATGTGGTTTTTGGAGATCAGGTCAACAATCTATCGGAATTCCCATGGGTACCAAATGCGCCCCGTTATTAGCTGACCTATTTTTGCATTCATATGAAGCAGAATTTGTTCAAAATCTTTTGCATGAAAAGAAGAAAACACATGGTGTGGCCTTCAACTCGACATTTAGATATATCGACGACGTATTGTCAATTAAGGGAGCTCTAAACACTGCACACTAGAGAGTTCCACTTGTATGGTAGTTTTAGGCATTTAGAGTGATCTGCTCTTAGTAGTAAGATAGAAAAAATTGTTATTTACTGTTAATTACACAATTTATTATAATAGATTAAAATATTCTTAGCATTATATTAGAACAAGAATAAGTAATTAAATTCATTATTTCCATTGATTTTCCCATTGTAAGTAAACAACAGTGATTTTTGTTCACGAATAGTCCATTGTATTTGAACATTTTTCCTGCGGAAATAAGGCAGGTACATGTACCCTATGTTGAAAATGAAGTAAATAGTCTCAGTATGCACACCTTTATATGATATATTTATCGCCAAGCCCAAAAAGCACATTTTGTTAGTGTTTAGAGCTTCCTTAACAATGGCTATTTCCATTCTTATGTCGACACGATATATCCCGGTGAACTTGAGATAAAAGCTACCACAGAGTCTGACACATCTGTTTCCTTTCTGGATATTTTATTGGAAAAAGACGTTGATGGTGATCTGGCAACCGGGCTTTATGATAGGCGTGATGGCTTTAGCTTTTCGGTCGTCGGCTTCCCTTGCTTGTGCAGCAATGTACCCTTATCGCCTGCATACGGGGTTTGTATCTCTCAGTTGATTCGATACGCAAGAGCATGCTCTACGTGTGAACAATTTCTGAAACGGGGTAAGTTGTTGTCAAACAGGTTGATGAAAGAAGAATATCAGCTGTCTCGTTTGGGGTCATCATTTCGTAAGTTCTATGGTCGATACAGTGGCCCTGTCGGCAAATACAGTCTTTCATTAAGTCAAATGCTGACTGTTTTTTTCATGCTAATTGTTGGGCATTTATTTGCTCGCTGGATTGTCCACGGGTTTTTCCGTTATTTCCCGATCATGACAAGGAGCACACGGCGGGCGTGACCGGTCGGCAGGGGATGCTCACTCCATCATGGTTGAGCTCGAATAATGTTCGTTACATGTATCTCCCCATATTTCATTACAGCGAAAGGAGATTATTACGATCATAGATTCTGCGAAAAGCTGACTTTAATGAGATTGAGGAAATCGTTGTAACTTTAATTTTTTTTTTGCCGTGGTTTCTTTGTTTAAAATTGATCGTATATAGAGCATGCTCTTGCGTATCAGAGAAGTTGGGAGATGTAAACACCAAATACAGGCGATGTTGGAATATACATGTAACTACTATCATCGTCTATAGTCAGTAAGCCATACGAATAGGAAACAGATGTAGCAGACTCTGTAGTGTCTTTAATTTCAAGTTCACCAGGATATACTGAGTTAGTAAATAACTATTGTTAATTGATAAAACTTCGTCAACATATCTTATTGTCAAGTTAAATGCCTCAACAAGAGTTTTCTTAGTATTATGTAGAAATTTTTGAATAAATTCTGCTTCATATGAACATGAAATAATCAGTAAGTAAATAGAAACAATTAGTACCAATTGGAAGTCCAACAGGTTGCTGAAAGACCTAGACTCCAGAGAATACATAGATCTGATATTGAAAATGAGGAGCTACAGTACATATTAAATATTATCTCCTCAGAATACCTTTACGTAAAATGAAATAAAAATTTAATTGAGAGGATAGTTGTCTAAGATGTCAAAAAGCCTGCCCGTTAACTATAGCGAGGAATGGTTATTTAAAGCGTAGAAAAGTCATATAATTCTCAATTTAAACTTTTCTAAAAGTTCTTTAGATTTTGTATTTGAATCAACATTTAATTTAAACCACTTTCTGAATATGTACTTGTAAAATTAGCCTGATGTTCCTCTTTTACACCAGTTAATATTTGGTAAGGAGTAAGAATAGGGACTTGCTTGAACAATTACTCGACCCTGTAATATATCTTTGTTTGTAAGGAATTTAAGGTGTTTTTGAATCAAGTCTAGGGACGGTTAATCAAACTACCATTAACTGGAATATTAAAACGTATTTAAAACTGACAGATGATTTTGGAGATGCATTGTATGTTTAACTTAAAAAATATTAGCCTTACTTTGAAAACGTCTTTCATTTGGATCTCTTAAAAATGCTTTACTTTACAAATCTATCGATGGGTGAATTTCTTTGTAACTTTTTGAAAATGTGAAAATCCGGTAAAATCCTTTGTTTTAAGTAAAGATAAACAACACTATTTACATGCGCTATATATTCTCATTCATAGATTTTGATTTTGAATGGCCTTACTGAGATGTCAATATTTTAAATTTAGATGCTAAAAGCAGCATTATTCGAAACCTTCTACTCTGTTTTATTCTATCGTCGATATTTGGCTGCATTCCAAAACTCCTATTTAAAATAACAATTCATAATTAGAATAATGTATTTCTTAAAAACAAAATATGCTAGAACTCTGTTACCACCATATATTAATTTCAATTGATATACAATTCAAAGGTTTTTTTTTTTTTTTATAAAAATATCGCACAACCAAAGTTCTGTCTATTAATGCCAGTTTCTTTTTTAATTCCCACTTTTAAATATTGCTAATTCACATTTTCAGGTTCCTGGATTAATGTGTGTGGGACTAAGTAATGAGTACCTTACTTATATATTTATTAGGGAATGGTTGTCTTGTTTTCTCGTTTTTTGAT